TAAAAATGAGATTTACAATATTTTATGTATTGTAGTTTGTATGTAACAAACTGACTCGTATATACAGGGTGATTTATTAGCTCATATGTCCTATTCTTTGATTATATATAATATGGATTGAGCCAACGAGAGATAGCTTGCGCAAGGTGATCGAACCGAGATAGACATAGAAGCGTACTGACATATAATGGGCGTGCGTTAATTTATAAGATAAAAAACTATCAATTAGAAGTAACATTTATAATACTTACAGGTGATGTGAAACTGTATTATCGCGAACTTTGCACACGAAACAATACATTTTTAAACATAACGGTGTGACTGGCTTTGACACAACAAAACGATAAACGTCAAATGGAAGAGGTTTGACACTTTTGTGCGCATGCGCCAGTCTGTTTAGTACCGTTTTATGTCTATCTTTGTTACACTTTCACATTATCGCTTTCCATCTGCGTCTATTCACCTTGAGCCACATTTTTGTTAGTAGATATATTCAGTTAGCTCAATCCATATTATATATAATCAAAGGTCCTATTTCAATTATTTACGAAATTATAACACTTTAAAGTTTTCTGCAGCGAATTTATTAATACTCAGTAAAATGAAACATTTAACAAAAACAAAGTTTTCATTGTAATATGTCAGTTTGTTATAAGGTTTAATTATTACAAGAAGAAACTCAAAATGTACGCTTATAGCACTGAAAAGTATACTGATATAATTTTCGTGTATGGTTTTTGCAATGGAAATGCTCGACAATCAGTACGAGAATATCAAGAAAGATTTCCACAGCGTCATTTGTCATATTACTCAGTTTTTAGCAATTCTTTCAGAAGACTTCGAGGTAATCCTGCTCCAGCAAAAGCTATTCGACCGCATGTAGTTAACGTAGAGGACGAAGAAGCTGTAATTAATACTGCCATTGATAATCCTTCCATCAGCACTCGAAGAATAGCACACAGCATACATGTAAGTCAAAATTTTGCATGGCGGGTATTGAACCGCGAAGTCCTTCATCCGTATCGTCAACAGAATGTTCAAGCTCTACAGCCAGGAGATAATCAGCAACGGCTAGCATTTTGTGAATGGTTATTGCAGCAACATGCTCAAAATAATGACTTCATTTCAAATGTTCTCTAGACAGATGAATCATGTTTTACACGAGATGGTATAAATAATTACCATAATTAACATATCTGGGCATTACAAAATCCGCATGCGATTAGACCAAGGAAATTTCAACGTTTCAGCATCAACGTTTGGGGTGGAATATTTAACATCAATTTACTAGGTTTGCATGTACTTGACGGACATTTGAACGCTGTAAATTACAGATTTTTTTGTACAATACACTTTTTGATTTACTTGAAGATATACCTCTTAATGTAATTCAAAATATATGGTACCAGCACGATGGTGCCCCACCCCATCGCGGAAGAGTAGTTGTCGAGTGGTTAAACCAATACTTTCCAAACAAGTGCATTGGTAATAATGGTCCATTTGCTTGGCCACCTAGATCCCCGACCTTAATCCATTGGATTTCTACTTATGGGGTCGGTCATAGAAAACAAATTGTGTATCAAGTGGAAATTAAGACACGAGAAATTATTAAACAGAATACAAATAGCTGCTACTGAAATAAGAAATCAACCAGACATTTTAATTCGGCTGAAGAACTCTTTAATTCATCGTTGTGAAGCATGTATTCTAGCAGACGGAGGCTATTTTGGACAATATTTGTAATATTTGTGTTAATTATGATATAAAAATTAAAACTTTAAAGTGTTATAATTCCGTAAATAATTGAAATAGGAAAATTTTTGGTAATTGGATCATATCATATGTCTAAGTTTGATGGTGAGCTAATAAATCACCCTGTATAGTATAAAGAAGAGGTCCAAGTACTGAGCCTTGTAGAACACTGGATGACAAATGGAGAGCATCGGAGGATTCATTTTCAACAATTTATTACACTCTGCTGACGATTTCTCAAATAATCACGTAACAACGCACTTGTCATGTCGTCCAAACCAACAAACATTAAAATAGAAAACAACAAATCGTGATTAATGATTTATATGTATCAAAGGCTTTTGAATAGTCTAAAAGGCAAAATAAGGTCGCATTTCCCCTGTTTAGGCCAGAAACAATATCATCAACAATATGAATTACCGCACTGGTACAGCTATATTCAGGCCAAAAGCCTGATTATGTCTCTGGCAAAATATTATTTTTATAAATTTACTCAGCGGAAAAATAAGAATTTTTTCAGCCACCTTAGACAAAACTAGAAGAATGCTTATAGGCCTTAAATGAGCAAACTCAGTAGGATTTCTAGTTTCACCAAAGCACACTTCCATGCGTCTAGGAATACGCCATGGTTTATACAAGTATTAAGTATATGTATCAAATAATCTATAATGTGTGGGCATGATAATATTTAGATTATTAATATCTGCAGCATTACTTTTAATTGAAGAAATTGCAGTAATATCATACTATGCAAAAGGACTAAAGAAAAATTTTGACTGAACAAGTCTATTATTTAGATAAAAATAATAAAGCGCATCATCCAGCAAAGTCACATTATCAGATACAGAGTCTATAAAAAAATCTGTTGATTTTGTTTGGACAACAAAGACTCGCAGGTATCACGGTGGATTTTGAATTATGTACACCTAATGTAGGCTCGCCAAGTGTCCCATGCTCCAGAAACGCCTTCTTCTCCCTATCTATTAAACGAGGAGCCCTAGCCTGGTACACCGATGCTTCAAAGACAGTTAAATCCGGAGTAGGTATGGGCATCAGTGGACCAAATAGCCACATTAAACTGCCCCGCAGCTCGAACAATAACAATTTTCCAAGCAGAAGTTCTTGCAATAAATTTGTGCACCGCTTTGAACCTACAGAAAGGACAGAAAGGTGGATCCATAAACAATTTTACAGACAGACGGGCCGCCTTAAAAGCAATTTAGCCCTACACATACGACTTCGCACTGATCAGATAGTGTACCAGCAACCTGAGAGAACTCGCTATGGGCAATGATGTTACTCTCTGGTGGGTTCCAGGTCACAGCAACATTGAGGGCAATGAGAAGGCGGACAAGCTGGCCAGAGAGGCAGTGAAGACGCCCGTCATTGGACCCCAACCTGGTTGTGGACTACAAAAATGCTACCTAAAACAGCTAATCAACAGTTCGGAGGTCTCAAAGGTAGCCTTATGCTAGAAAGAACTACCAGGTCACAGACAAGCGAATAGTATGATAACTCCGTCGCAAAACAAAACCAAAGAGGTTTTATGCCTCAGCATAGGGGATCTAAGGACGCTCTCAGGTTACCTGACCGGCCATGCGCCCCTAAAATACCACCTCTTCCACATTGGACAAGCTGAGGATCAAACTTGTCGACTTTGCAACAGACGAGTCAGAAACAGCTGAACATATACTGTGCAATTGCGTCGCCAGAGGCCGTCTAAGACACAAAATTTTCGGTAAAACTCTCTTGACACCTACCGACATAAAGGTTCAAAACCTCAGGGCAATACTAAGGTTCATCAAGGACCTATATTTCCCTAAACTTGTGGAGGGCTAAAGTTACAATAGATCTTATAGGTCGCGGTAACGAGAGGGGCCGCTCCCCTCAGCCCGGCAGCAGCAATAATAATAATCTATTGCTGAATTGGTAATGTTCCTCATATTGCCAAGCCACCTTGGTTCCGCATATAAGATTTACTTGAAATTTCTGGCATGAATAGTTTGGATTTTCCTTTGATCAGCGCTCACATTGTAACATTTCCTGACAATTCCATCGACAAGAAAAAACGAAGACGAAAAATTGGAACACAATTTGGAGTTTGAAAAATTTTTTGGACTTTGATCTAAAAGATTCATCTTCAGTGTTTGGTTGGGGAATATTTGTGGCGTTACCACAATTTAAAAATCTAGTGATAAGTATTTTATAGTTGTTATGTCGTAGACATGAATAAAAAATAAATAAACAATTCATTAACATCATAAAGATCATACACATATCATTTAGCTCGTAAATTATTATTCGAATTAATTAACTACAATTTATAATTAATAAAAATATATTATAAAATTAAAAGCTAAGAAACTACCTCTATAAAATTGGTGACACCTTCTATACCCACAATCAAATAGTGATTAATTAATTAATTAACAACCAAAGGCTTCTAAGAAACACAGAAATGAAAACTCTTAGCAATTGCTGACTACTCTTAGCTGGATGGCATAAGAAGCGAAAACATCAGGAAAAAATGGGGGTACAGGACATAGTGAGATGGGCGTCCCCCAAAGAGGTGATAGGAAAGCTAGAGTTCAGCCACAGAACAATAATGTTCTGTGGTTCAGCATCCCAGTTTATGCTGTGAACTATTGTAGAAAGACAAGGCTATCGTCTGTTATAAGAGGAAGTTGAAGAAAAAAACAACATAAAATGTCAAAGTCGTGATAACTAAGTAACCTTTCAATTAGCGCAGATTCGTTTGTCAACAAATAGTTGAAAGCATTATTTTGTGGCGTTCTTTGTAATGTACACTTTGTAACAGTTAGTGCCTTAATTATTATTTCTCTAAGATGAGCGTCTTGCATAAGTGGAAAGCGTGAAAGTAGGTATCTACAATTCTTTCTATTTTCATTAAGTGCGCGGTAAGTTTAAAAGAAAAATGGTAATGGAGGTGATTCTAGTCAATTAACCCTTTTTTGGTACTCTTTTTAGAGCAGATTTGTGCATTTACTAATTCACTTTTAGGCAGTTTATACATTTGTTCTTTTTGTTTTCATAGTTACAGTATTCGCGCTTATCCAATTCTGTTTATTGACATTCCTTTGGTAATATTAATTTTCCTACCTTCACATTATCAACCTTCTGTTCTATACTGTTATCATTTATATAAATTGTTTCATTCGCTAATTTTTGTTGATATATAACTGTATTTATTGAATGTTCTTTTTAAATAAATAATTTATATAACTTACCAGTTTAGTACATTCCAAGCTAAAACTAAAATCACTATTTTGCCCATTATTTGCAACACCACTATCTGTCCTTTTCAAAACATGCTTCCCACAAACAACACTTGCGCTAGAAATCTGCTTATCTTGCTTATAATCAATATGTCTTTGAATTTTCATTCTTTGCATAGCGACTTCATGCGTTCGATAATTATTCAAACCCCTAGAATTTTTCTCTTTGCCCTTTCTTTGTTCCTGTTCGCCTTCTAATGAAGCCAAGATCTTTCCACACAATACCTCTCTTGGAAAATTCGACTCCAAAGTCACCTCTATATCATATTCGCGATCCTGCATTAAGGGTTGATCATTTTTTACCGATACATTTATTACTTTTACTACATCTTTAAAAGGTACTAGTAGAGGCTTGTCTAGGTTTTCAAGACTTTTTAACATTTCATCGAAATAAGTCCAACGAATTAAGGTATCGATATCTGGAGATGATGCTATTGCTGTACAAGCGCGAATAAATTTTCGAGTATCATTTGATTTCTTATAACATTCTGCTAAATCTACTTGTGTTTGTGCCGCCAATTCTTTCCAGTTGTCTTGTTCAAATGTTTTTAAGACGTCGTTTAAAAACGCGGCCGATTTTTGCGTTTCGCCTAGAAGCATGTAGAAAAATGCCAACTCACGACCGATTAAACGGGCTGAACGTAAGCGTCCAATGTGTTTATAGGTTCCCATTGCTAATTCCGCTAATTCCTAATGCGAACACAAATACAGACATTGTTACAAATATTTATATAGGTTGTGATGAACTTACTAGATAATTTTTATTAAACGCATCTTGCGAACATAAAGCTTTTTTGAGCTTATCAGTTGGCGTTGGCGCACCTGGAGGTCCTGGATTATCCCCCATACCAGCTGATAAACCAACAACTAAATGTAGTTGTTCTGAAGTTGGTGTTCCACCTGGCATTAACCCACATAATGTTCCTAAGTCTTTTAACTGTAAAAAAATGTTATCATAGTGCATGAAGTCGATAACAAATGTAATGGATATATCGATTTATTTATTTTGCTTCATTTATTGGGCGAAGCTTTATAAACATTTTTGATAGCAAAAACACGTTTGCATTCAGGAACACAAAATGATATGTTTTACATGACTTTCGTTTACAACTATCAAACAATAATTGCCCATTATAAAAATTTTTTGTAAATTAAATAACATAACAACTGTTGATACCTTCAAGGAAGACGCTAACCAAAACTTTGGAAATATAACTTTCAAGCATTTTTCATAACAAAAATCATCTACAAGTTTTTCTGACATGTTCGATAGGATTTGTCATAAAAAATTTCGACGTACTCGTGTGATTACACGACTCGGTCTACGACCTCGTCGTGTAATTCTCCACACTCGTACAGTAATTATGTTTCTAGCCCACTTGTAATATAAATAACTATTACTTTTATCCATAGAATCAGATTTTGCAATCAAAAACATGGGGTGCCATTTAAAAAATCGGTCGTGACCTTCATATGACCTTGAAAATAAGGTCAAGGTCAAAAATGTTATCGTCATATGATTTCCCCCTTCGCACAGAAGAACTTTCATTTGGTTCATTTTACATAAAAATGAACCGTTTTCAAGACAATCGCTTGTCTCACGTTAAATGGACCAGCCTGTATATTCCATTTGTGCTGTTTATATTTAATAGCTTCAAGAATAGTTTTAACTTTTAATTGTCATATATTATGATTCTTTTAAGTCACTACGAAAAAGTAAAGTCTAATGATTTGACTATTATTTTTTCAGGACACTGGATGTGTTGTTTTCTTATCCATCTGGGTTTTTTTTGTCCAATACCGAAAGTTTTGTCTATTAAACGCCATTTTTTTGAAGACATCTAAATATCGGCATGAAAATTACTCAGAATTTTACATAGAATCTATAAATGCATCCAGAAATGGAGGTTCCTATTTAAAAATGTCAACTTAGGGATTGTATCTCAATTTTGGGACACCTATACAGGGTGGGCAAATTTGGGTGTTATTATAGGCTATCTCAGAAACTATAAGAGATCAGCGCCCTCCCTAGCGTTTACGTTACCCCGGACAAACAAACTTTTTGGCTGACACTGTACTGATATTTTTCTTGGGATCTTCAATCGGTTCACCTCGAGATTCGTATGAGAAAATATTTTTTTTTCTTTGTATGCGGTGTCGTGGAATTGTTGATTCAAAATTAGCATTAGCATTAGCAAAATTAGAATTAGCATTTATAATTTTCATTGAAAGACTTGTCCGATCGAAGATCCTTAAAGAATATTTTGCAATTTTGTAAGAGGTCAAGTGCAGATGCTAGATCAAAATCTTTTGTTTGCATTAGTTTGCTTATAGGATTAATGCAGTTTAAGATTTTGTACCAAGTTTTTGTTGCGTCGTATTCTTCTCCCATTTGAAATCGTAAAGTCTTTAAGGCCTCTATCCTACTCTCCCATCTAGTGGCACTCAATGGTTTCAAAGTTAATCCTTTAATATGTTTCAAAAGTATTGCCCACCGAAACGTAGATGATGAAAAAAATAAATTTAGTTTCTGGATTATATTGAAGAAATTAGTTTCTACCGAAGGAGCTTTTGCCATATCATTAACCACTAGATTCAGAGAATGACTGCTACACGGAACGTAAAACGCTCGTGAATTTAAATTCTTAATTCTAGATTGCACTCCAGCTTTATCGCCTTTCATATTAGATCCATTATCATATCCCTGTCCTCTAATATCTTGCAAGTTTAAACCCATATTAGAAAGTTCTTTAATTATGATTTCAGTCATTTGTTTTCCTGTGGACCTTTCAATTGGAAGGAAACCCAAAAAACTTTCATTAACTTTTATTTCAGCGTCGTTGAAATCAGATTTATTGACTGTAACATATTGGAATATAAGAGTCATTTGCTCTACCTTACTTACGTCAGGAGTGCAATCTAAAATTATAGAATAGAATTTGGCCTTTTTTATTTCATTAATAATATGAGACTTCACATTTTGATGCAACAAGTCTATTATCTCGTTTTGTATATTTTTACAGAGATAGTGGGCTTCCGTCTCTTCTTCTTTCAGCACCATTCAGACAGTAGTTCCACTATTTTTAGGAAGTTACCATTATTATGCTTAAATAGTTTATCTCTTGTACCTTGAAAAGCCAGACAACTTTTACCAAGCATTTTAATGATTCCTACGATTCTTAGAAGCACTTCATACCAATGGTTTGTATCAGCATTAATAATTCTTTGAGCAGTTGCATCTATAGTTTTACAACACTTTAGTCTTTGACTCAGTTCCAGCCATGATTTGTGAGCTTCAATATGATTTTTTGAAACTTCGTGTTCTTTTAACGTTTCAACGATATGCTTCCAACTTTTAAAGCCGTCTTTTGAAAGAGAACTGATCACACAGCCGAAAATTTTACAGCAAAAGCAATAAATATAGTTTTTTGAAATAGAGTATACTAGCCAGTCTCTTACAACATGCTCTCCATTGGTAGAAAATCGATAAGCAAAAATTTCGATTAAATTCAATTATCAAAATTTTATCACATTCTGAGTCAAAATGCCGCCCTTTAGAGCTGCCGCCCCGGACAAATGTCCGGATGGTCCGCCCCTAGAGCGGGCCCTGAAGAGATACGAAAAAAGTAGGTGCCATGTCCCGGTCTCTTTTTTCGAGAGTAACCCAATCTCGCAAACACCAAACATCTATCTTCTTTTGTTTTTAAGTTATAGCCAAAAAGTCAAATTTTCGTGATTTCAAAAAATGCTCATATTTCGTTTATTTTTGAAATTAGAGAAATGGGGTTGATACGTTCTTAAGGCACTTTTTTAAGTAGAATATACTGCCGTTGAAAAATTTTAAAAATATTTAATGATTTTTGAGATACAACACAAAGTTGTATTTTTTTAAATACAAACTATACTTGATTATGATGTTAATGAAAAGACCATATTTTTAGCTTTCCAATGATGTATCGCATGCATGGTGTATTTGCGGAAAATAAGTGATATTTTCAATTCCAAAATAGTAAGCGCTAAAGTTCAAAATTTTGATTATAGTAGGCGGGTTCGGACAGTAATTACTACCTAATTGCTATATGGTTTTGCACGAATATGACAGAAAGTTGATCTTGTACCATTATGCAGGATAAAGTTGGTTTTGTACCAACGAATAAAAACTTTGAATAGTTGATTTAAATTTCTCAGTGTCTTATCTCTGACTTTGTTCACCAATAAAATATTATTTGTAGATAAAGTTTGTTTATTAAAAATACAAGAAACGTATTAATTAATGAATAATTAAATATGAACAACCACTTTAGGAACTAAACAGTCACAGACTGTGTCATCTTCTTCTACTAAACTTATTGGTTGTAAGGTTAGAACACTTGGGTATCAATGAATGAAATCTTCGGTAGTATCTTCCCAGTTTTCCCCAACCATGAGATTTAGAAGTTTTTTCATATTAGCAACCCTTTGTTTTGAAATTGGGTGAGATAGAGGAAGATTAGGGATCATAAACTGGGCAGCGGACTTTCCATTGAAACGATGTTTATATGGGATATGGAGCCTTATCTATCATTTTCAAAGAATCGTTTTTTAATTTTATCGCTTTATGTATTTAAAGATAATGAGGAATTTTTAAGCGGGAAACTCATTTCGAAAAATTCATGAATGAAATGATCAGTAAACTCACGTTACTATAGTAACTAACAAGGGAAGTATCAGAACTGTCCCTCACCGATTTTGTTGAAATTTGGTACAGTGATAGTATGGCCAAAAATAAGGTTCACGTATTTTTTTATACGTGCTAATAAAGCCCCTGGGGCGAGTTATAAGGGTTTTAAATCGGGGCGAAATATATACAGGGTGTCGCACAAAAAACGCCACAAGCTGTAACTCTGTCATTTACATTCCGATTTTCATGAGCGGGGTATCAAATGAAATGGTTTCATGAATACTATGATTTATGCTACAAATAAATTTTTTCCAAAGCCATCTTCAATTTTAAGCAATTATTAACTTTTGCTTTTCAAATTGCTCTATATATTTTTTTTACGTCTATGGATAGAGATTGTTTTTCTGAATCCATTGATATACAATACATCCATTTTGAATATAATTTTAGTAGAGTAAAGACACCTGTGTACACAGGTTGCCACACAAGAACGCCGCTAGCTGTACCTCTGTCATTTACCTTCCAATTTTCATGACCTAGCTATCGAATGAAATGGTTTGATGAATACTATGATTCATGCTACAAATAAAGTTGTAGACAATGTTCGGAAAATGTTTTAATTGTTTTTCTCTGCTAAAATTACAATTAATGTTAATGTATTGTAGATCGATGGGCTCAAAAAAACATCTCTATCCCATAACGTGAAGAAAAACATACCGAGCAATTTGAAAATCAAAAGTTGATAATCGTTTGAAATCGAAGATGGCGTTGGAAAAAGTTTATTTGTAACATGAATCATAGCATTCATCAAACCATTTCATTTGATACCTCGTTTATGAAAATCGGAAGTTAAATGACAGAGTTACAGCTTACGGCGTTCTTGTGCGACAACCTGTATATACAGGTGTCTTTTTTCTACTAAAATTACATTCAAAATGGATGTATTGCACATCAATGGATTCAGAAAAACAATCTCTATCTAATGACGTGAAGAAAAATATATGGAGCAATTTGAAAAACAAACGTTAATAATCGCTTAAAATTGAAGATGGACAAATATTTAAACTTAACATCCGATGCAGTTACTTTACTAATAATTTCAGGGCAGTGGCCAGTCCAAGAATCCAGTAATAGTAATGATTTGGGTCCGGTGTTTGGGAAATAGACATTTTGTAGCCAATTTTTCATATGAGCAGAGGTCAGTTTACCAAACTTTGATGCCAAAACGAATATGTTATCTGCTTTGAACATTGTACTTATTACCCTCGGTCCAAACGTACCAGAGGATTCTAACAATGTAGAATACAATTTGTGATATATAATCATTTTTTTTCAGTTGCTTTTTAACTCATTATTAATAAATATTTATATAATTATTTTAACTTTTGTGTTATTTAAATGGAATAAGTATAAAAAAGCTTTTACTGTAGGAGTATGGAAGTTATTAGCGAAAATACATTTTCTACCCCAAACTTCTAACCCTTGTAAGTTCTTACAATAGTACTAACGTATAAAAAAAATCAGCGTGGTAAATTGCTCCAAAATCGACAAACAATTTTCGCAAAAAAAAATTTATTTGGTGTGGTTAGGGTAGTTAACCCCAGCCACCCCTTAATGTCGTATAGGGTTTATTTTACTGCGTAAATCTTAATTTACATCTAATTAATGGTTTTCTTCAAAATATTGGTCAAAAGTGTAACTGTTTATCACATTATTATTTAAGGAAAGGGGTTATCTATCATACCCCGTAACTTTGCAGGGGATGGTCAGAGGCAAATAAGAAAAAACACGTCGTTAATATTTTTAAACATACTATAAGGACACATAATTTCGTCAAAATCGACAGGGTAGTTTTTAAAATATCCCAAAAAACTAGGGGTAGTTTACCCCCTGAAGCCCTCAGATATATGTGTGATATATCAATGGAAAGCTCTTTGAAAATAAATATCAGTTTACATTTACCACATTTCGATAGCTATTTTTGTTTTCAGCCTATAAGCGAATATATATATATCGCCCCGATATCCAACCCTTATAACTCGCCCCAGGGGCTTTATTAGCACGTATAAAAAAATACGTAAACCTTATTTTTGGCCATACTATCGCTGTACCAAATTTCAACAAAATCGGTGAGGGACAGTTCTGATACTTCCCTTGTAAGTGGCATTTAACGTTTTCCTCGCCTACTATAATTAAAATTTTGAATATTAATCTTTAATATTTTAGAATTAAAAAATAACGATTATTTTCCCCAAATACACCATGCGTGCAATACATCATTGGAAAGTTAAAACTATGCTCTTTTCAGTAACACCATAATCTACTATAGTTTGTATTTAAAAAAATACAACTTTGTGTTGTAGCTCAAAAATCATCAAATATTTTTAAAATTTTTCAACGGCAGTATATTCTACTTAAAAAAGTGTCTTAAGAACGTATCAACCCCATTTCTCTAATTTTAAAAATAAACGAAATATGAGCATTTTTTAAAATTACGAAAATTTGACTTTTTGGCTATAACTTAAAAACAAAAGAAGATAGAGGTTTGGTGTTTGCGGGATTGGGTTAGTCTCGAAAAAAGAGGACATGGCACCTACTTTTTTCGTATCTCTTATAGTTTCTGAGATAGCCTATAAATAACACCCTGTACACTTACATTTTATCTCAAAAAATGCACGTTAAAAAAATAGCATAGATGTCAAAGCATTTTTCTGGAAGAATAGTACACAGTGTGTATCCTATTTCAAGAAATAAATATAAATCTCAAAATGAAATCTCTAAGAACAATAAACTATCATTACTACTACTATCAGTAGCATTGTAAATTATCACAAAATATGTTACTTCTATGAAAATAATAAATGGAGATGATAAAAATGTACCATATCAGATGACAAATTAAGTTGAAATATAGGTAATCCAGTTTAATTAAGATAAATTTAAATGAAACAAGATAATAAACCAATTAATCAAGATTCTGTTACATTGTTTAATTACAACTTTATTTTGTATTGACTAAAATAAAAAAAAAATTCTTACCTTATGACTAGCATATGCCCATAATGACGCAGTATTTAATGAATAAGCTTCAACTTGATCTGCTTGATTAAATTTTTCACATTTATGCAAAACTTCCATACAAGCAAGAAATAACCAACAAGATTGCGCCCCAACCGGAGCGACAATCTCTAACAAGCTCATTTCCCTTGTACAATTATGCAAAAATGGTAAACATCTTGATGCTATCTCCCAAATCTTATTTGTCAGCAACAACATATGCGCTTGATTCGCAAATAAATACGCCCTAAGTTCCAAAATTGATGGATCTTCCGGCAATTTATTCGCACCTAATTGAAATCCATGCCATCGTTCTAACGGCTTTTGATAGTTGCATAACCATGTAATTGTTTCTCCAGAATGTGCGTTAATTACAAATTGGGAAAACAACGCGTCCAATTCATCGTATTGAACGAGAGCTTCATCATAAAGGCCAAGCATTTCGAGAACTTGTGCGAGTTCTTCTTGTAATTTAAAGTAATGCATGAAATTCCAACCTGGCTCATTTCGTCTTTCACGTTGCTGACGAACGTGATCTTCTAAACGAGCAACCGCTTTTGCATATGCTACTAAGACTAAATGCCGTATTCTACTAACTAAACCTCGCCAAGAATCTGCTGAACGTGATTCACCTTTACCAGGATTTATCACAGATATACAACGATCTCCTAAAAATAAATTAAAATTAATTTATTAAGATGGGAAGAAAATAAAAGTAAAAACCTACCTTGTTTTGGTGCAAAATCAGCTCTTATTTTATCTAAAACAGTTGTTCTAGGTAATAATTTATTGGCTCTTTTTCCATCATAATTTTCAACAACAACAATTAACCAATCAGGAATTTCGTGTGATGTTAATTCTTTTAACCAACATTCAATATCATCTTTTATATTAGCTTTATATAAATCTATATCCTATTAAAATTGAACATGGTTATAATGATATATAGAAAAGATATAAATAAAGAACATTCTGTTAAAGATACTTACCGTACATTCTGTCCAATAAATATGGAACAATGGTTGTCTTATCAAGTCCCATTGTGTGATTTTAGGTAAAGCAGATGGACTAAAAGGTGCAAAGTTAGCACCAATATGTACTGAACGTACAGGTCTTCCGAGAGAACGTCTCCAATCACATGGATCTTGTGGTAAAGCTTGTGATAACCCATCTTCTAATAAAGAAAATACTTCTAATTCACCAGCACCTATAAATAAATTATTGATATTAAAAAAGGGATCGTCAAAGGAGTTTGGCGGTTAATTTACAAGTAATTATCGGTCGACGGTCCACGAACGAGCCGTTCTCAAGTGTACCATTCATGATTGGGGGACCTTTAGCCTTTCAACCTGGCTGTAAAACGCACATTGTTTTCTACTTTCGTAATTTACCAGGAAAACATTGCGGTTTGATTAACGAAAACGGTTTTAGTTCTTTATAAATGTATTTGAAATATTTCTAAACGTCAATAACTTAACAATACAACAGCTGATCAAACTCCCTAAATTTTTCGGATTTTCTCCTGTCACCAAACGTCAAAGTCAATTACTACCAACCTTAAAATAATTTAGTGAATTTATTTTAATTCATTTAAATTTTCAGTGTGCATTTATTGGAATTGTTGAACGATTTTTAATGAGGATTATTTGTTTGTGATATTCAGATAAAATTGCGAATAAATTAAACTAAAATACATCTTTTAACTATTTTTTACTTTTTGACGTTAGTTTTAGTATGTATGTATAGGTGTCCTAAATTTATCGAAACACTTTTATGATTTGATCAAGGTTCGTTGAGTATTTGTTATAAGGTTATCCAAGTTGAATAAATTGACGTTGATGTGATGAGGTGGAAACGTGACGTTATTGGAGGAAAAATACAACATTACATAATATTATAATATAAATATAATATTAATATAAATATAATAATAATATTTATATTAATAATTATTTACACACTAAACAAGTGTTATTAAACTCCTACTAATTGTAAGTGAATTTCACTTAAAATGCAATATACAAAAATATATTTCCATAAAAACCAGAGCGTACCTACTTACTTTGTTCCACATAAAATCTAACATGTCTGAATGTTTCTGGTTGTAGGTCTAATGTTAATTCTAGTAACACTGGTAGATAGCGCTAGTTAACATAATAAGACATCATTACGTTCCATATTTTTATTGAACTAACACTAGACCTAGTACACTGAGGGAAATTATTCTTGACTTACAAGAAACATTGATTCTTGAATGTATTTCTTTGAAACAAGTATAAGATACTCTTAAAACAAACATATTTTTTTGTTTTAAAAATAGAAATATTATCGAATGAAGTATATCATATTCTTATCATCGAAGAGTATTAATTGTTTGTATCAAAAAATTCATTCTTGCGTCAATAATTTATAATACTCAAATGAAGAATTATACAAGATTGTTGTTACATGAATAAATTTTTCTAAAAAGAAAAATACGTTGTTCTTAACTTAAGAAATCTATTCTCGATACGAAAATGGGATTGTTGACGCAACATTAAGATACTCCTTTTCAAGATTATTGATTTACTTTCACTAAGAATTTGTTTTCTTGAGAATCAAGAATATTTGTATACTTACTTTGAGAATATGTGGTGTTTCTTCACTCAACAAAATGATCTTCTTGTGGATATACAAGAATATGATAAGCTTGAGCCAACAGTAATAATCTTCATTCAAGAATACATTTCTCTCAGTGTACTAGAAACATTCGTGTAGCTATGCGTCTTCAGATACTTTCTAGTTCTAGGTCTAGTGTTAGTTCTAGTTTTACACTATCACTAGAACTACATTACATTACATTAAACAGACTACATATCGGGTAGGCGGATCAACCAACCTTGCACCGCGACTCTAAGCTTCTATTGTACCCCGATAGATATCGTTATCAAATTTCACCGTGCAGTCCAATGCTCTTAACGAACATTAATACCTTGCTCTAAACGTCAATCAGATCCTTCGAGGAGATAAACTGCGACCCAAAAATCGAGAATCTGATACGGTTGACAGCAGGGCAGTGGCATAAAACGTGCTCAACCGTCTCTGCTTCCTCCGCATAAAGTCGGCATTCAACATCGTCGGCTAAACCCAACAAGTTGAGGGGTGCTTTTAATCGGATATGCTCAGTAAAGACACCCATTAGAACTTTTATGCTGCTACGAGCAAGTCCTAAAATATTCCCGGGTTTGACAGTGGCGATGTTAATAAACACCTTAGCATGTCTCATTCCAGGAGAACTGGTCCACAGTAGGCTAAGTCTTTCTTCAGCCCACAGTCCAATCCTATATTTGGCCATCGCAAATGATACGCCAACTGCTGATTTCGGTCCCACAAACGCTTTAGCGGTGCCCACTCGTGCTAACTCATCTGCTGCTTCATTGCCAGCAACCCCAGAGTGACCCGAGACCCAGATCAGAGAAACTCTGTTATCACAACTCAGTGTGTTAAATGTTCTCTTACAATCATTAAGCAGAGCCGACACCGCTTTCACGGCTTGCAGTGCCTGGAGAGCGGCTTGACTGACTGAGAAAATTCGTACTGTCATGTTCTTCACCTCTCTCTCAAGAAGGATTTTAACACCCATGTTAATAGCAAATACTTCCGCCTAGAATACAGTACATACCCAGGCTGTAGGCTTGCTTAATTCGAGGTGTCTGGCAGTATACTCCTGCTCCTACCCCTTCAGGCGTTTTTGATCCATCTGTGTACAAGCAAATGTCTGCCCGAACCAGAGAATTTTCATTTTCGATCCAGGACTGCCGCTCAGGCAGTACAATCTGGTATCGAGCATTAATCACTGATAGTGATACCGCCAAATCTGACGGCATTGATAGCACAATATCAGTGCTTATAATGTCTTCCGCAGCCCATTGGTAGGACATGTCGGAACAGTTTTGAGCATATTGCTGATAAATCTGTAAATGGTTATTCTAGCCACTTTCTCTATATGCAATGGAGATAGGCCAAGCAGCACCTCCATTGCTAGAGTTGGCGTTGTGCTTATCGCACCAGAGATTGCCAATCCAGCTACCCGTTGAATTCGTGAAAGTTTACTGATAACTGAAGTCTGTCGGACTTTCCTATACCAGGCTGCTGTTTCGTATGTGATTATAGGTCTAACTACAGTCACACAGAGACTTTTTCCACAAAGACTGCGACAAGTCCACAAGGATAGTCTAGCTTTATGCAAAATTCCCTGCAAATGTCCATTCCATGCCAAGGTTTTGTCTAGGATTACTCCTAGATATTTAATAAATAATAAATAACTTCTACTTGCTTTATTTAAATATACAGTCGTACATGTTTCAGGAAATTATTCCCATCTTCAGCGACAAGCTATTAAAAGTTATTTATTATTTATTACATATTTAACTTGCAACATGGATTCCAATATATCCTAGATATTTGACTTCCTTTGAGAAAGGAGTTTCTTCACCTTGGATAGTTGGGCGGATTAGTCCATCCAACTTTTGTTTCCTGGTGAAGGGCACAACAATTGTCTTTTGGGGGTTTATCGAGAGGTTCTCTCCCTTACACCAAGCGCAAATGGTATCTAGGGTCCCCTGGAGGATTTTAGATATCCTCAACAAACAGGTTCCTTTGACCATAACGACAAGGTCATCAGCATAAGCTTGTATTTCTACACCAACGGCTTCGACTATTGCAACCAGATCGTCAAACAGGAGGCACCAAAGCAGGGGAGATAACACCCCTCCCTGCGGGCCACCTCCCGGCCTAAAGCGTATCGTGTCACCGAGTGAAGTAGAAACTATTCTACTATCAAGCATATTGCGGATCTAACCCACTATAGTTGCTTCCACTCCCCTGTCAAGAACTGCTCTTTCAAGAGATTGTGGTATTGCGTTGTTGAACGCTCCTTCTATATCCAGAAACGCACAAACCAAGATTTCTTTATCCTGCAGCGTCCTGGATACTCTACCAACTAAGTTGTGTAGAGCCAATTCTGCTGATTTTCCCGCTTGATAAGTACACTGGTAGCGACTCAGTGGACCAGATACCAATGACACCGTACGGATATATCGTTCCAGAACTTTTTCAAGGGTTTTCAACGGAAATGACGTTAGGCTGATGCGTCGAAAGGCATTAGGAGTAGGGACGGAACGGCCCGCTTTGGGTAAATAAGATACCCTTACCTTGGTCCATTCTACCGGTACATATTTCCAGGCAACACTGGTTCTGAAAATTTTTACCAAAATTGGCAACAACAGTGACCTTCCTTGCTGTAACAAAGCAGGAAAGATATTGTCTTCTCCAGGCGATTTGAACGGCTTGAACGTTTGAATCGCCTCGTCCACGAATGTGCAAGTGAGGACTTTTCTAGCGACACTCCAATCCGTATTTGATGGGCGCTTTGCCTTGCAGGAATAGCCCGCTGTGGCATTATCAGCCCTCATCATCAAGCTTCCTGGGTAGTGAGTCTGCATGAGAAGCTCTAACGAGACTCTGCTAGGGTTCGTAAAACTACCGTCAGGACGCTTAAGTGAGCCCAGGGGTGGTGCCGAATCTTGAGAATTCTTGCACTGCTGGGTGTGTCTTTCACTCCCTCACAGAACCTCTTCCAAGATTCTCTTTTTGCCTTACGTATGTTTTTGGTGTAATTCGTTAGAGCTCGGTTAAAAAGCTTCCGGACCTCTTGTCTTTCGGAGCTCAGAGATTCGCTCCACCAGGGTGTGCCCCGATTATTAATTTTCACCTTCAGTGGACTGCTACTGTGATAGGCAGAACGAATTGCTAGAGATCTGCTCCGTGGCTATTTCAATCTGATCACAGTTCTTAACGGTAGCGATGACACTAGTTAGGTTATCTGCAAGGCAACTCTTAAACAGATCCCAATTGGTGCTACGGGGATTACGGTACGTACACTCCGATTTCATCTCTAGGTCAATTTTAAAATGAATATGTCTATGATCTGAACACGAAGGTTCAGAGGATACTCTCCAGGAGGTTATTTTGGAGCTCAATATAATTGAGCTGAACGTAATGTCAAGTACCTCTGCTCTATTTCTGGTAACAAAGGTTGGTTTGGCGCCTACATTATTAACAGTAAGCCCTTACCTTAATAGGTAGTCCAAAAGCAACTCACCTCTTTCATTTGTGTTGGTGCTTGCCCACATTGTGTGGTGCGTATTAGCGTCACATCCAACAACCACTTGTAGGTTATTCCTCCGGCTGTAGACAATTATGTCTCGCACAGCGGCCGGGGGAAGATCACTATCCATTCCGGGGAAGTATGCCGGCCAGATGACAATTTCTGTCCAGCCCTTCTCACCTTGGATTCTCAGAAACGCAGCCACACAATCGCGGTCGCTATGCTCTGAGATTAAGAAAGCATTAATGTTGTTCCTGATAAGTAAGTAAGCTCTGGGTTTATCCCCTGAGCAAAGTAACTTACCGAATAAATTACCGAGTCCGCTGATGCGCCCGGTATTGGCGAGCCATGGTTCCCGGATGAGGGCAATATCAATTCGTTCACTCATCCAGGTTCTGCAAAGGACAGCCGTAGCCGCCCTAGCGTGCTGTAGGATTACCTGTAAACAATTAATATTGACTTAACTTAACTTAACTTGACTTATCCACTGAGCTGAGTACAGTTTCCCCTACTTACCTCTCGGTTGGGATGGAGCAGCCGTCCCACCGGCCGCTCTCATTCCAGCGTCTCCTCTCTTCCCCCACTCTCCCGTGGTGCTGCGTTCAGCAGCGAGCACATGCATGACGCCCCCTGCTGGACACCCCGGCACGTGCGGAAATCGTACCTCGGCGATTTTACACCTGGCGCTCTTTTTGCGCTCTTGGTGCTTGTTGCCACGGGAGCTGATGATGTCGACGGGGCGACTGTCACAGCCTCCGTCATGCCAGTGGTAGGTGCGGGATTCTCCACTCCCTTTTCCCTCAGTCTAAAATGAATTCTTCCAAATCTAAAGTATGGCCGCCAGCACAGTTCTTCTAGGGCTTTGAAAGACACTTCGTCAACCGCGAAGGTTCACGTCTGCCCCGGTCCAGATCTGGTAGTATTTAAAACCGTCCATTCGAATGTTTGGAGTAGTTAACACCGTCTCTTTGGTGACAGGAACACTAGCTTCATCGTCTGGGATATATGCTATACAGACGTGCGGCCTGGCAATACCTTTCCCCTCGACCGCCTTAATCTGGGTTGGCTATATTCACAAGCCAGTCCTTCAAGCAGGCATCGAAGACGCGTCGCACACCCTCTTTTTGGATGTTGTCTACGGCTGAAATAACCTCCCTCCGTAGCAACCCCACCTGTTCTACATTGAAGTGTTGGGTGGGATAATCTGGGTGGATTAATCTAACCCTGATACTGCTCACAGCAGCTTCGTAGGTCAGCTGCTTCTCTGAAATCGCTTTAGTTTCCGTCGGTTGGATCTCAGCCGGCTGGGGTTCTTAGCCACTTGCTCGGACGTCGACCCAATAGAGCGCACCCTCTTGGCCAAAGGCTTAGAGGTCTTTGCACTCTTTTCCGATGGAGTATTGAGTTTATCAATCACCTGCTTGAGGACGGTCTCATAAGGCACCTCGCTCCCCATAAGCTTGAGCAAGTTCCTTCTAGCGGACCCTGGCAGCCGCAGGCGTTTTTGTTGAAGAGTGAGACTGTCTAGTGCCTTAACAGCCTCCTCTTCATCTTCCTCCCCTTCAGAGTGTTTTAATAAGGTTGTCTCTTCTTGACCCAGGCAATTAAGCCAAGATCCCCGCATGCCCTGCTCGTGGCAAACAATAGGCATGCATGGTATAAGGGTTTCGACTATATCAGTCGTCCGTGGCCACGTTTTCTCCCGTACTAGCCCTAAGCTACGACAGCACTGTTTATCGACTGGCAAGTCTAGATCCGACACTTTTGGTATGGTACAGGGGCACCTCGTGAAGGAACAGTAAAGGCGGTTCTGATTCAGGTCATAAGACAAGAATCCTGAGTACGGCAAAAGAAGTAGGACAAGCCTACCTAGGATTCACCGCACCGCATCACTAGAACTAACACAAGACCAAGAATTAGAATCATTCGGGTTAGCCGTCTTGAGAGACGTGCGGCTAAACCAGAATGCTTCTAGTTCTAGGTCTAATGTTAGGTTTAGTGACAGTGGTAACTAGCGCTAGTTAGCATAAAATATCACTATGATGCATATTTTTATTGCACTATAATTAGAACTAACACTAGACCTAGAACTAGATACTTTCTAGTTCTAGCTCTAGTGTTAGTTCTAGTTTTACACTAGCACTAGAACTAACACAAGACCTAGAATTAGAATCATTCGGGTTTAGCCGTCTTGAGAAACGTGCGGCTAAATCCAAATGTTTCTAGTTCTCGGTCTAGTGTTAGTTCTGGTTTTGCACTAGAACTAACACAAGATCTAGAAATAGAATCATTCGGGTTTAGACGTGCGGGTAAACTAAGATGTTTCTAATTCTAGATCTAGTGTTAGTTCTGGTTTTGCACCAGAACTAACATTCGGGTTTAGGTGTGCGTCTCTTAAGACGGCTGAAAACTCAGGGTTATCATAAGGACGTTACCTTTTTCCAAGCAAAACTTTTCCTCCGCAAAACTACCCAATGCCTGTATTATTAAGCTATGTTGCATTTCATATGGGACAGTGCAAGTGCATTCATACATATATTGCGAGTTATTTGAAATTCCCGGTATAAATGAAAACATAAGCTTTGTTCGCTGGGACTGCACTACTTGCACTCACTTGCACTATGCAGTTTAGTGCAGATGTTGTGTGTTCGTTGGGGATAGTGCAGTTGCACTCATGCTGTTCGTTGGGCCAGGTGCAGTGCAATTTAGTGCAGCCGGTGCAAGTTAGTGCAGATTTTGTTGCACCTGCTTTCGATTAAGTTCAATAAGTGCAGTGTAACTAAAATGGCGGAATATTTGAAAACGTGTTTTGTAATAATTAATAATAATATTAAATATTAAGAAATAAAAGCTTATAATAATTAATATTTGTTGTATTAGAGAACACAGTATATTCAATCCCAGTAGAGGCAGTAGAAAAGTACCCCTACTTTTTTGGAATAATTTATAAATATTGTGTTTTTTCTCATTTAGGGGTGGCTGGTGTTAAGTACCCTCACCACCCCAAATTTTTTTTTGCAAGTACTGCTTATCAATTTTGGTGCAATTTAGCATGTGATTTCTTTATACGTTAAGTAGTACTTTTGAAAGAACTAATAAGGGTTAGTAGTTTGGTATAGAAAATATATTTCGCTAATAATTGAAAAAAATAATAATAATTAATGAATACTAAAAAACGCTACTAAAAAAACATTCTGCGATAATTTCATTTTCCACGAGTATTTCGCTGACAATCTCCTGTTCGTCCATTTCAAATATTATACACTTTTTTTATAAAAATCTGTTCGTTGGGACCACGGTTTATACACTTTTCTGACCTGCACTAAGTTGACATGACATTGCACTGACTTACACTTCATTGCACTATGACGTCATACGAGTGCCATGTCGTGCAGAGTAGTGCAGCCCCAACGAACAAAGCTATTGACAATTCTTCCAATGACGTCACAACAAAACCTATGTGGGAGGGGAGGGGGTATAAGATATAGACATATGTATACTAATGCAAGAAGCGCGTTGAAAAAATAGAATAATAGTTCTGTAAATTACATATTTTTTATTTCAAAAATAAAATTTCATTACATCACATCGTTTTTTATAAGTATAGTTTATTGACATAAAAATATATAGACATTTAGATTTAGAGCAGAATTTGCTAAAACAGCAATTAATTGAATACACTTTTGCAATGTTTTTCTTAAGAAGGAACCATTTAGTGGCGTTAATATGTTCAATTATATAACATATACAATTTACAACAGCACTCAACCACACTAATATTGTAAACCATTAATGATCCAATATTCGCATATTACCAGAAACGATTTTATTTTCCAATATAGCACCACTTGGAATATCAATGCGATCTCCATGATTGGCTATAATTATAACAGTTCCCTAAAAAAATAGAAATTACAACATTATTCTAGTCATTAAGATCATAAATACTACCTTTAATTGAACTCCTCTTCCAAAAGTAACATCTCCAGATACAGTTAAATGATCCAACTCGATTAAATCAGGAATGTTAGCAAATCTATTTAAAAATTCGCGTACTTTTGCGAAATGATTATCACCGAGTTTAATAAGTGGAGTCGTCGGGAACATTCTTTGAGGAGACATCATTAAAGATCCATTCTTCAATGTATAAAGATTACTCATAACAAGCATTAAATCGGAAGTTTTTTTGACGGGCAAAAAACGACTTCTCGGCACATTTATACCAATTCCACCTTCAAAACATTTCATAGCAGCTCCTACAGCCGTCTCTAATTGAATAACATTAAGACCATTAGCTAAAGTTTTATTATTCGCAATGATTTCTAGATTTAATTTATTTCCTTGGACCACTCTATCAATTGCTAAAAAATAAGAAAAGAATTAATTAATGTTGAGTTAATCATATAAGTGTTTTAATAAGTTTTACCATCTAATTTTGCCCATAGATTGTTTGTGTTGAAAAATTTGAAGGTCTTTACTGATTTGAAATCATCTACATGTTCCTTTGGAACCTGTGCAATTTCTAATAAACTTAATTTATCTTCATATTGAATTAAAGTTCCTCCCTATAAAAAATTATAGACAAAGATATTTAAATCAATTAAATTATTAGAATGCGTAAACTTTCTTTAATTGCCAGGAAAGTTAAAGAAACGTTTATGGATAAAAAATTTATTAAATAAAACTTACTTTAACATCAGCTCTAGTTTTATCAGTAACTTCCATAACAAATTCAATCTTCTCTTTATCTTTACGTAGAAGTAAATTAAGAATTTTTAAATCAATTGTAGCTCCTAAATTATCAATATTTGATATAAAACAATATTCTTTTCCCTGTTTAATAAATTCCTTCAATAAATTCGAATTAAAAAAGCTCTGATAAAAATCGCCGTGACCAGGTGGATACCAAGCCTCAAGATTTCCTTCGACATCACAATTTTTCGGTACAGGCATTAACGTATCTCGATTTATACGCGGATAACAAGATTGATTAAAGGTGTGTATATCAACATTAAGATTTTGATATTTTCTAATTACATTCCCCGTATCTTCGTTGGTGTTAAACGAATTCATCAACACCAAGGGTACTTTAACTTGATAGCTATTGTAGAGATGTTCCATTTGTTGAACGGTTAAATCCAAAAATGTTAGATCGTTTCTAACTGCTATCACCGATTTGGGACCGTGACAACCCATTGATGTTCCTAAACCACCATTCAATTTGATGACGACCAATTTTTCTAACATAGCTTTAACATCATTGTTTTCATGAGGTTTTTCTAAAGATTCGTAATCGCGCACGGCGGTTGATGGTAGTTTTTGTATTTTATCCCAATTAATTGTGGCCGTCGGTTCATCGAGGAACCGTTTAAATAACGTAGAGAATCCATTTAACTCCGTTATCGTAGCTTGTTTCTTTTCTGCTGAAACTGTTGCCACTAGATTTTCCAATTCTTTTTGTAAATGATTTAAGGCATCTCGTTTGGTTGCTTCTTTAAATTCTCTTGAACCGCTTCCACCTCGTGCTCGTATCTAAACAAAAAGAAAATAAAAATGAAAAATTAAGTTGAGAATTTTTCGAATACCAATTCTCCGAATCTGAGTTGATTTTTTGAAAATAGTATATTGATTAACCGCATAAGTTCTATTGAAGTAAATCATTTGTATGCACTAGAATTTACCGAGAATTTTCCTAAAATTTAAAAGTAATGTTAACAAAATGATAGTTTTGATAAGAAATGTCATAAGTTTGAAATGACTATTGACGTTGTCTACAAAAGGAAAAATAAGGTTATTAACACAGTACAACACATGATTTCGGGACTCAATTCTGATAATTGTTTATGAAAGTAGCCCCAAAAAGAAGAACTTCTACATCATTCGTATGGTCATGGTACATCAAATAATAATTTAAAAATTAATTTGAAGTTAGTAAGTATCGTATAGGGGAATTTGTCACGTTTTAGGCTCTTTTGTTTGTCATAACTGGAGAACCACTAGTCCGAATAAGCTGAAACAAATTTAAAAAAATTAAGAATTACAATTCCTTTAATCTGTTCATACAACGTTTCGCTACATAAGCAACAGTTTCGCAGTTATAAATAAATGTATGAAGAAAAAAACTATTTTTTGCCTAAAAAATTTAAATTTTTTATTTTTAATTCATAAAAAATCCAAAACCGTAAAAAGGAACAGTTTCGCAGTTATAAATAAATGTATGAAGATTTTTGTATGTTATTTATATGTTATATGAAACAAAATTTAGAACATTTTCAATTAGTGTCACTATCCATCCTCGTTGAAGTTGACGCTTGTGGTTCTGATGACCTTATTTTCTTAGTAGGTTGTTCATATTCATGTTCTGAGTCTGCATCATCATCCAGTGTGTCCACAAATTTCAGTGTCATCTTCATCTTCGGTGCGTTCATCTTCAAACTGCACAATTTTAGAACTCCACCAACAAACCTCCGCAAGCAATGCATCCATGACGTTAAAATTACATTTCCTGCATTTCCACTTTGATACCTTTTTGGCACAATTACCTCAGGAATCGGACGAACAAGGAGAGAGGTTCCACCAGGTGACCATGCCAATGGAAAAACGATTCAAAGGCAAAAAATTGAATGCATTGCTTGCGGAGGTTTGTTGGTGGAGTTCTAAAATTGTGCAGTTTGAAGATGAACGCACCGAAGATGAAGATGACACTGAAATTTGTGGACACACTGAACAAAACATGCACTTGAATATTATGTGTAACTCGGATGATGATGCAGACTCAGAACATGAATATGAACAACCTACTAAGAAAATAAGGTCATCAGAACCACAAGCGTCAACTTCAACGAGGATGGATAGTGACACTAATTGAAAATGTTCTAAATTTTGTTTCATATAACATATAAAAATCTTCATACATTTATTTATAACTGCGCAACTGTTCCTTTTTACGGTTTTGGATTTTTTATGAATAAAAAATAAAAAATTTAAATTTTTTAGGCAAAAAATAGTTTTTTTCTTCATACATTTATTTATAACTGCGAAACTGTTGCTTATGTAGCGAAACGTTGTATGAACAGACTAAAGGAATTGTAATTCTTAATTTTTTTAAATTTGTTTCAGCTTATTCGGACTAGTGGTTCTCCAGTGACAAACAAAAGAGCCTAAAACGTGACAAATTCCCCTATACGATACTTACTAACTTCAAATTAATTTTTAAATTATTATTTGATGTACCATGACCATACGAATGATGCAGAAGTTCTTCTTTTTGGGGCTACTTTCATAAACAATTATCAGAATTGAGTCCCGAATCAATCACCTGAAAAATGTTGTACTGTGTAATCTTTTATTGTGTCATTTTTAAAAAGTATATTTTTTTACTTTAATCTGTTAATTAATTTGACTTGATTATTTTGTAAAAAATAAATTTTACAATTTTGCTGGTGCTTTATACAACATAACTTTTTATGATTGTGTTTTATAATCTGTTCATGTCGAATAAAAATCTTATTTATTTTATCAAAATGAAATTATAATCTTCTTACTTTTACTGATTTTTTATTTCAATATCTTTGTCTTACATGTTTCGATATAATGTCATCACCAGAGACGTTACAAAAGATATAATTAATAATTAAAATTAACATGTTACATGTACAGGTGTCCCAATTTCGATGTCCGCATAAGCTATCTCCGAAACTAAAAGAGATAGAAAAAAAGTAGCTTACATGTCATGATCTCGTTTTTCGAGAAAATGCTAATGCCGAAAACTGCAAACAGCTATCGTTTTTTGTTTTCACCCTATCGGCAAAAATTGAAAATTTTGCGAAAACGACAATCGCGAATATCTCACTTATTATCAAAGATGGAGTATTATATATAAAACATTATATGGGCAACTTTTTACGAAGAATTCAGTGGCGTGGGGGAGATTTTTTTCCCATCTTTTATTTTCGCGATTTTAGGCGTAACTTTATTTTTTTTAAATGGAAACCATAGTTGGGTATGACCTAAAATAATTTATTTACAACTATTGAATTATCTATTCGTTATACAATTGATTTTTTACGGGTAATGACACGCATTACCCATGGCTGACAAAGTGTTGAATAATGGAGCCATTATTCCACAGTTCTGACACGGCCTACTAATCAAAAAATAAAATATTAACAGAAATGACAACTTTCTTATATTGAGGTTATGTCTGAAATGTCTATCAAGTTTTTTTTTTTTCCTTTTTTTGGATGTTTTTTCAAAATTAAATACTTGTAGATAAAGTATAGTATTCAACTTGCGTATAATGGATGTTATCCAGTCAGATTACAACTTCTTCTTCGTGGGTAACAGCCGCCATTATACGCTTGTTGAATAATATACTATTGTTATTTTCTTCTGATAACAAATATATATAGTTTGTGGGGTATATTAATTTCTTATAGTTATTGAATAATTAGATACTATATGCCAAAATTCTATTATCTAAAAGGGCACACCATACATTGAACCCGAATCTTCTTTGAACAATCAGAGACTTCATCGGTCCAGATGACATTTTGAACAATTATTTAATTTTTCTAAATATCATCTACAAAATTCTAATCTTATTGTTAGATTGATATCTTCAGCACGTAAATAATGAGTAAGCCCCGCTTTGTATGGTTTATACTTATTTTTCTTTCATATTCGGGAGCAGCGGCTTTTGGGTCAGACGTCTTGTTCAATTTCTCTGCAAGATGTTGATAGATCTATCGCAACTGAAGCCAACACATTGACTTCATCCCCTTGCAGGTCATTTTGGTATGTTTTTGCACATGGGTTGGGGAAAGACCAAAAATCCATTAAATTTTCTGCTAACCGGCTGAAAGTTCTTGCGTGCTGTTCGCGGCTAACGTCGTATTCTTATCTGATAACATATAGCATTCCATCATGTTACATTTTCATAATTTTTGAAATTCATTGTAAAGCGCCCTTCACACGATCAATATATATTGTCAATATGGCCAATAAATATTGACAAACTGTAATTGCTTCAGATTATCAATATTTATTGACAATCTACTTAGTTTTACGTTGCCTGTCAAAGATGTCATGTCATGTTTGCATGTGTTAATGAACCATCCTGGGAGTTAATAGCACTTTCGTCCATTAAAGTATATCTGTCAATCATTAAATATATTGTGATGAACGTGTATTTTATTATCAAAACACAATTTTTACATATATCATAGAATATTTCGGGAGCAGGTTCAAACAGAAATTCGTAAATACAAAAATTCGACTTAACGCTTTTTATGTTTATTTACTACTATCATTTCTTTTTTTTTTTTTGTTTCCATGACTTATTTTTTTATATTAACGCCACCTCTTAATACTATCATAAGTGATATTATTACAATATCAAATATTTTCATTTTCGTCAAACCATCCCATCATTATTTTTAATATTGACAATACATTGTCAATATGTCAATCTTTCTACTCACACGTTCAGTAATATTGTCAATACTTAGATATTGACAGTATATATTGATCGTGTGAAGGGCGCTTAAAGTGTTATACAGTTTTGTTATACTTTGACACTTAACATGCTGATGCTCCATACCAACATATAATGCCAGAGTTGTTAGCGAATTTTTAAATACAAACTTTGGTAATTATCTGGTACATTATTTTCCATCATAGTATGTATGGTTATTACCATAGCCAACATTAACTTTTAAATACATACATTAGTTTTAGATATAACAAAAAATTTTTTGTTAATCATTCAATAACTACAAGAAATATACCCAACAAACTATATATATTTGTTATCAGAAGAAAATAGCAAATTATTTTAGCTCATAGCCAACTATGGTTTCCATTTAAAAAAAAAAGTTACTTCTAAAATCTCGAAAATAAAAGATGGGAAACAAATTCTACCTACGCCACTGAATTCTTCGTAAAAAGTTGCCCATATAATGTTTTATTTATAATATTCCATCTTTGATAATAAGTGAGATATTCGCGATTGTCGTTTTCGCAAAATTTTCAATTTTTGCCGATAGGGCGAAAACAAAAGACGATAGCTGTTTGCAGTTTTCGGCATTAACATTTTCTCGAAAAACGAGATCATGACATGTAAGCTACTTTTCTTCTATCTCTTTTAATTTTGGAGATAGCCTATGCGGACAACGAAATTGGGACACCTGTACAGACTACTGCAGTAAATTTTAATTTTTAACAGTTTTCTATTGTTTATTCTTAATTTTATTGTAATTTGGATATTAATTCTCACTTATTCTGTTAACTCACTTATTCACTTGTTTTTTTGTATTTTCTGTATTTAAAATCGTTATTAAAGCTGTTTTAAATTATAGCAATTGAATGTATTTTATTAATGCATAAATTTGTGACCTGTAGTATGAAAAGGTGGATTATGAATATTTTTATGCATTTTTTCATTTTTTAAAAACAATAATCTTTTTAACAATCTAAGAACCAAACAAATTGAAATAAACTAAAATTGTTGTAGGGTAGAGAAACCAGTTATG